CCCCCCGCCCCAGCACCGTTCCCTCCAGGCCCAGTGGCAGCATCTCGGCTGTCAGGGCCCACCCGGTCACATGGCTAGGGGCGCAACTCCCAGCGACAGCGTTCCTGCCAAATCCAGTCTTTTCCACCAAATCCACTTTGCACTGGGGATGGCTCTCTGCTTTTCCTGGTCGGGGTCCTCGTGGGACTGGGAGTTCCTCCAAGGCAGGACCGGGCATGTGCTGACCCCAGCCCCCAGTGCAGGCCCCGTGCCCGCCCGCTGTGCTGGAGGAAGAAATGCCCCTTAACAACGAAGACAGGAATGAATGAAACCAATTGTTGCCTGGGGAGCCCAGGACAGTGCCGCTCCTGCTCTGCCCTCCTGCCTTCACACTCTCCATTCAGACACGCACGACCACTGGGAGCCAGGGACACAGAAGATGCACGGGGGCTCCAGCCCTCTCGGAACCAACCCACTGCATGCCTGCCCAGCAGTGGGCACCCCTGTGACCCCAGCTGGGCCACCTCCATTTCACTGCCTGCCTCTCTCCGTGCTCCTCAAACGCAGCCCCTAGGGTCCACATCTAAGTGCCATACCTTGGGCCTCAAGTGTCTCCTTTATGTCTTAGAGAAGAGATCACCCCAGTCCTCGGGAGTCTCAGGGTCTGCTTAGGGAGGCACCTGGCTGGCCCCAGGCTGGGAAGCCGCTGCGAAGGACGGCCAAAGGTGCCTCGCCGTTAGGCCACCAGACGCTGCAGCCTTTAGAGCCCGCATGCCAGGTGCTGGGGGTGGTGGTGGGAGGGACTGGCGACGTGGTGGGGTGTCCAAGGCTACTCGTAAGGGGGTAGGGCAGGAGGCTGGGAGCCTTCGAGGGAGCAGGTGCGCTCATGTTGGGGTGTAGGAGTGTGCGCGGGGATGCTGGGGCTGCCTGCCAGCGAATGGGGAGTGCCTGCCGCTGGGGTGTGGATTTGTGCTGGGACTTAGCTCCTAGGGGGAGAGCTGCAGTGTCTCTGGACTGATCATGGGCGGGTGTCTGCTCATGAGCAGATGGAGAGTTTGAGATGGTGGAGGCTTGCGAGGGGAGCCCTGTCCGCGCAGAAATCGCAGGGTTGCGCTGGCAGCGTGTGCGCGCCTGGGCGTGTACTGGGGCGTGGCTGGGGCCGGGATGGGTGCCGGCGTGAGTTGGGGACAGTGGTGAAGGCTGTGCCCTCCAGCGACCTGGAGCGTGGTTTGCCCGCACGCGAGTGTGCCGCTGGTGGAAGTGGCAGGGGCGTGGGAGATGCACGGCAGGGTGCGGGGATTGGAGGTGGTGCGGCGAATAGGTCTTGTGAGGGCGCGCGCTTCGGCCCCAGGAGTGAGCGCTGGCAGCACTTTGGGGGTTCAGGGCCGAGGAGTGCAAGTCGCGGGGCAGCCAGGCCGGGTGGGGGTGGGGTGGGGCCCGGGGCGCCTCGTGCTCAGCTCACCTCCGCTGGGCTCAGCTCCCGCCCCGGCTTCGAGCGTCGCGGCCAGGAAGTTTCCGAAGCTCTGGCGGCGGGAAGCGCTACTGCCACCGCCGAGCACCAGCAGAGTCCCAGGCAGCGGCCTCGCCTGGAGCCTAGGGGCCGCCGCCGCCGCCGCCGCCGCCGCCGCCGCC